TTACATAACAATAATTATTGTATAATGTAGGCGAAAGTTATAAAAACAAAAACAAAAGAAATGTTGTGTATAAAAAACAAAAAAAAGGGGAGAAAAACACGTTTAAATTTCGGTGTATCGTAACACATGCAAATCTGGCGTTACTTTTTGCGGCGACTGTTTTGCATAAATAAAATCGGAAAAATATCTACATCACTCAAAAATTTCCTTTATAGGAGGAGATTCAAAACCATTGTTTTCATACCAAATATACTACGTAGATCGGGTTGAAAGCTACCGATACGCAGTGAAAATACATATTGGAAATTTCCTAAAAATTCGTTGTGATTTATGCCAAATATGCATATACGCAATTTTTTCCACCATTATAAACTTTTTTTTGTAGTTACATCTGTGTTTCTGAAAATTCAGCAATAGATCGCGTGAAATTCTTGTTTATCGTAGGTATTTATCTGGAACGCAATTAAGAATAACTAAAATACGCAAATTTAACAAAGAGGATACCAGGAAAAAGCAAAAGCAAAAGAAAATAATTTATTTTTGCCTAGAATATGCTTATTCTGTATAACTGCTTTATTATTCGTGAAGTAAAGCGATTAAGCAATAAAGAAACTTTTATAAAAGATGAATAATTCAAGAAAAAAGCAAACGAAGTTGAGATAACGGGTGCGTTGTGTAACTATTTTCTAAAATTTGCAGCATGCTCCTATTACAAAACTGCTAAATTCTAAAACAAATGATAAAAATGTAATTCTAAAAATAAAATGTTTTAGAAATAAAAGTAAGATTCAAATAATTTTCTTAAAAGTCTGGTAATTTCTCGTTTTTCTTCTTCTCTTCCAGCCTTATAAGCTATTTTACACCATTTCAATGCTTCGTGATAAGATTTTCGAGTACCAATGACATCTTTATAGCAAATAGCAAGATTTATTTGATCGATAGTATTTCCATAATTTGCAGATTTTAAGTAACACTTAAATTCTTTAAATTCGTCCTTCGCTGTTCCACCACCAAATCTATAGAGCAAACCAAGCATAGAGTAGCTTTTATAAAATCCATTAATAGCCGACTGTTGAAACAAATGAAACGCTTTCATGTAATCCCTCGCATCGAAATACAGATTTCCTAATTCGAATTGTGCTGCCGAATTATTACTTTTCGCAGCTTGATGGTACCAATAATAGGTCATGTGAAGATTTTTGGCTACTCCAATTCCGTAAAAGCAACATTGGCCTAGTAAGTACTGAGCGTACACGTCGCCAAAACCTGCTGATCTTTGATAACATTGTAAGGCAAATTGTTGATTATTTTCAACTTTGAGTTTATGTTCATAAAATAAACCCAAAAGAGTCGTATAATGAATATCGTCGGTTGTGTTCTGTATAAAATTTATTACCATATCCAGATCCAGTTTTCGTTGGGTAATGTATGACGAAAGTTTAGCTGCTATTTCGTCACTATGCTCTTCAGATTCAAACAATTTGTGGAAATAGTCTAAAATATTATTAATTTTGATTTTGATGACTTGATTAGAAATTGCATTAGTTTCATTTAGGGAAGATACCATTGAAACAAGCTTGAAATGTAGCTTAGCAAATAGATAATGTATAAATTTTGCAATAACGAAGGACTAGGTTACGAGATTAAAAATAAAATCACATTTATACTTTTGCTTGAGACGTATGTATTCCGATAATTGAATTTTCTGTTTAATTATCTGAAATTAGAAACCTACCAAAACTTTTTTAGAATAATCGCATTTCAAGAATGATTTGTTTTTCATAAATTATAAAACACAGATTTGTCGTGAAATAAACATTTCAAACACAATGTTTTTGTGTTGATTATTTCTTATCTGGGTGAGATCATAAATAATTTATTAGATATTTCGAGAAAGGTTTCTTTTGGAATTTGAAACGTGACATTTCATTGGTCATTATTTGTTATATATGGAACAAAAAATATTTATGTTTTATTTTATAAGCTTATAATAGAAAAGTTATTCGTACTTGAGACGAAAATAAATGCTAACAATATATAAGGCATATGTTTAATGTACTTGCTTAAACAAATATCTTACTACATAAAACATATTTAAATGTATTACTTGCTTAAACAAATATTTAACTACATAAAACATATTATAGAAGTTTACACAATAAAATATTTCAGTACTTAATGATAGAGCTCATAGCAGAAGGCCCAATCAAGAATTACAGATATTGTGCCACTTTTTGTTGCTGCAACGATCTTTCTTTTATTTTTGCTTAAGGCTTTTTCGCTATCAGTAGCACACACTTAAGGTATGCACAAGCAAACTATATTTTTGTGTTTTAACTTGAAACTTTTGGGGGGGGGTAAAGTACATTTTTATTGTTATTCACACGTACAAATTTCTTTGTATTGTCTAGCCATATGGTGCAAACAAAATTCTTGACGCTCAATATTATACTCGATGTTTCTACAACTATCGGTATATATTGGAATTATAGTAAACTTTCGTTTTTTTATTGTTGAAGCTAATCAGACAAATTTATAATTCGCGAGCAGTATCCGTCATTGATTCGTATATACACGGGAACCTACTTTTTTCGATTAGACGCGTTTTTCATGCGCGTGTAAAATTAGTTTCACATACTAATACAACCACCCCACTAATAATTCAATTTCATCATTTAGCAATGATTTACAAATTCTCACATTGTGTAATTGTGAGATGGGATCAAATAAAAGAAGGAAAGAAGGAATAGAAAAAGCGAAACACAAAGCACCACTGTCATCCTTCTATATTTAGAATTTTTTTTTAATATCCGAAATATTCGAGTTCGGATGCCGGGTCTTTGGAATCGATTCAGGTTTTCGGGTACAATTGTTTATTTCTTTGTCTTGAACGAGGTAAACTGTATACGTATGAACTTTGAGTAACTAGTATCGGTATACATGATTAAAACTTTTTGAGTAACTAGCGTACAAGTAACGATATTGTATGAGAAAAATGTTTTAGAGCTTAAAAATGTGGCTATCAATGATATAATACTTTACGTTTTAGGAAACTGGATTAATGGAGACCGAGTCGGTGTGTCCAAATTATTTGTCTAGCGCTAGTATTTTGCCCTTAATGGAGTTTGGGCTGAGGTTACTTCATTCAGCTAACCAAAATTAGAATTATTGAAATTCTAACACAACTAACGCTAATTCTATTCGTCTGTATATTGATGAACAAAGAAATAAGCATAAAGTTTAATATTAATATTACCCTTGTCAGACATTTTTGTCACCATTCACACACACACACACACACACACACACACACAAGAAATAGAAATTGGGGGAAAGAGTGTAATACGAAATAAAAATATCATTTATTTTTAATTTGGGGTGGTCAAAATAAGACGAACTAATAACACGAACATAGTCAAATACTAAACAACTAGGCATAATGAAAATGAATTTCATGCTGTATTCAAGAATTAATTCTTCAGATTAAGGAGATCTGCATGTTATGAAACGTTGCAGACTAACAGGAAAAAATCTAGTAGATTGTTGGCAATTAAAAAACATCGCGCGTCTTTTACTTTGAGCACATACAGAAAATTTCTATGGAAAAAATCATACGTATGTTGATTATAACGATTTTTTAATTTGTGTGAACAGATTCGAACAGATCTTTTTTGTGTTTCGAAAAGTGAAAGTTTGCACTGCGGGTTTAAGTAAATAACAGAACGAGATAAATAACTACGAATAAAACGAAAATTAAGAAAGAACTTTCGGTGACGAATAAAAATAATATCTTAATTTTTCATAATAAACCTTCTAGAGAACTGGTTTAATTGAAACCACGATTCTCGAAGAAAGCACTATTATATAAAAGATAGAAATATATATACAAATAATATGTGTAAATGAATAATTATATTTACTAATTATATAATACTAATACATGTATTATTTATGCGAAAAGTGTTCGAATTTATTATGTACACTCATATATAACGCTCATAGACATTAGAGTATAAATGCTTAGTCAGGGAATTGACCTCTTGGAGTGTCTTCATCTGCTGAATATCCAGAGCCAAATATGCTACCAAAGAAACTGCATTCTTCATTGTATTGTAAATTTTGTAAGTCGTCATCTTCGTCGTCATTTCTGAAGTATGATTTTGGTGTATATGTGGTTTGTGCTTTGGCTGGTAAAAATGAAGATGTTGATGGTGTTTCGTCAAATACGTAAAATGGGTTTTCGAGCTAATAAGAAATGAAAACATCAGTCAGTAAACTTTCTTGTAGCAATTAAATGAGTCACGTAATTTATATAAAGATCAAAACTTACGAATTTAGCCTCTTCCTCGTCTTCATCTTCAAGTTCACTGATTGTCCACCAGATGTTAAAATACGGAATATAACTGTGTTGTTTCTTTTCTTTAACGAATTTCTTTGCTTTCTTTTTCTCTTGAAGCTGTTGTTTGGATTTTATTTCAAAATGTTCCACCAACTCTTCATTATCAAATGGCGCGACAACACCCGGCCAGCTTTTTATTTCTTCACACGAAGGTGTTGAACATTTTGACAAAAAGTCACTTTGTGAATCATCGAAAAATTTATCGTCTGCCTGTTTACTATAGTCGTAAGTGAAGAAATTTATTACAGCGGATATAAGTTTCGTTGGTGATACAAGAAAGATGTCTGTTGAGGTATTTTTTGAGGTATTTTTTGAAGACATTTTGTATATGTATATGTTTATGTTTATAAAGTAAGGAGAATTATGGTATGAATGTTTTTTGTGATTTGACATCATTATATATGGTTTTTCCTCGAAACGGGCAACTTTGAGCGATTTGCATTCATCCGTTTTCTGTACGGCCATCTTTGCAGGATTTTCGGGTTTACTTTTTTACAGTTATAATATATGTACAACAATAAATATTAACGTTAACGTTAAATTGTAAGTATTGGTATTGTCACAACAATGGCAACACAGAAAGTACTATCTTTCTTCCTTTTTAGTATGTGACGATCGACACATGGCTTATTTTTATTTATATGAATTTTTTTAGCTTCCAGGAATTCGGATATCAAAAGAATTTGAAATTATTAACATACAGAGCATTTATCAATTAGGCTTGAATAATACTGTTCATCTCCAAAAATAAGTTATACGCAAGAAAGGGGTAGCTTATTTTGGAAATACGTACACGGTAAATGTGTACATTTCAAAAGGCTCCAAGAGAATTTAGAGAAAGGAGGTTTTGCGGGTGTTTTAGTATCGGATCATTGAATAGAGGTACATTATCGTTATTAGATTAACAAATAATAATTGATCCGAGAAAACAATCACAAATCAATAAACAACAGATAACTATGGTTTTTTGTGTGCTCGTTCGTCTCGAAAAGGGAAAACGTGTTTGCACAAGATACTTTCTCTTTCCGATTCTCGTTGTGCTCCTTGATTTCGGCAAATGGTGTTATGATAAATGACACAAATCCTTATTTCTTGACAAAATCCGCTATAACGTTAACATTTCAAGAATACTTGTAAAAGATTTTTAGGTACGAGATTTGATAGGTAATGCAATTTATAATAGTGCTAGGTTAAAGTCTTTGCTATTTGCTAGTCATCATAATAAATTTAGTAAACATTACGTAATTACGTATAGTTTCGGCTGAGTTGCGGTTCTATGTACATGTACATATACATATACATGGGCATACACAATAAACTTGTTTTTATTTGATTTCATCGTTTAATTGTGGCGAAAAAATGCTTTATTATCGTGTGCACTTGCTGAATTTTCTATTTTAGTGGGATTAGTATTTAGCAGGTTTAAAACTGGTTATCCTAGAATCAGATGAGCAATAAAATAGATATCGAGAAGATTGAAAAAGAGGAAACAAGTGTGCATTAAACCTTTGACAATGTAAACTGTCTAAACAAAAACATAAAGTAATTAAATATACATTAAGAATTAATAACAAATCATAATTACAAGTGTTATGTTGAAAAATTATCCCATTTTTAAATTCGATTAAAAGTAAATTTAATTACACCTGCATATAAATTAATAGTGTGGTGTTGGCCATTCACTAGATCATAATATAAATCATAAAATTATATTCCAACACTATAAATAATGTGAGAATCACAAAGAATATGGAAAAAATAATAGCTTTTACCTGGATAATTTTAAACTGATACATTTATTTTAACAGTATATTAATTATAAATACAGGTGCTATATTGAAAAATATTATTATAATATACATGTGTATACCCCCACACTAGAATAATATGATAATTACAAAGACACTGGAAGAAATACAAAACTATAGTTTTAATTTTGCCAATTTTGACTTGATCCATTTGAAAAATTCACTTTAATAGATATATTCGAAAAGAAAATTTAATTAATTACTGAGAAAGAATTAAAATAGATTTTTAAAAATTTTAGAATCGAATTTTTAGGTGTATCTGCTTCAGCAAATAGATTATTTTTGTTTTAATAAAGTTATACATAAAAATTATACAAATATATTTTAATTTAACTGCGCATAACTTTTAAATTTAACTACACATATTTTTATTTTGTTGCTTTTAATTACGAATTATATATTTGCTATTAGTACATGAAAATATATAAAATATTAACTCGAGTATATTTTGTAGATTCTAATTATTTCATAAACTAAGTAAAATTATAATTATAATTTCAAATGTTAAAATTTTATCTAAATATATATAGTAATATATAAACTATAGAACATCGACGTAGAATGTTCTCAATGTTATTGAAATTATATTTTCATTTTTATATAGTAAAAAATATTTAAATTAGCTTTATTATAATATTTAAAAGTAAATTAAGTCTTGAATATTATGAGTGTCGAACTTAGAGTATATGCAGATTAAATAATATATTGAGAAAAAAGTTAGCTTAAAAATACAACAATAAAAAATTTAGTTATATTTTGTTAAAAATCCATCAATAAGATATAGTAGAAAGTTTGAACAATATAAACAATATTACTTGTTATTTAACAAATTATAAATATAGTACTAATTTTATGCATAGTATAGATAGAAGCTCAAAAAATTTGAGAAGTCATTATAATTTTCAAGATAACACAATATTATAAAAAAAATTAAAATCTTTACATGTTTCCATTATTAATATACTTATTTTTATTATTAGATTAAAATACGAAATAAATTATTGTTTCACATGAGTTTTATATTATTATTATATCTCTCTATTTAACACATATTTATTAATATATCATAAATCAAAATTCTTCTATAGAAAAATAAATAAAATATATTTTTAAAATTTTTAGTTTAAATAAAAAGCACCTAATTATATTGCAGATATCAATAATAACGACTTTAAATATATATATATATATATATGAACAAAAAGTATATACAAAAAATATAAATAACTTTATATAGAGAATTCAATTAGCCTTAAATACTTTATAATAAATTTACTTAAATACTTTTACCTATATAGAACTCAATATACCAATTAAATAAGATTGGAATCTAGGTATTTATAAGTTATATTTTTATGTATTTAATATTTAACAATTAACATTTTAAATATATATAATTTTAACTCAAAATTATTGTATTTTGAATTCTTATATATTATTAGAATTTAAAAAATTAATTTATAAGTTAATATTTTTTATATTTTTATATATATAACATAATAAAAATTTATTCGCTTAAAATATGACAATAAAAATTTAGTTTTATTCTACATATTAACAATTATATGTACAATAATAGAATATATTAGAAGTTTTTAAATAATATAACAATATTTGTTATTTCGCAAATAATAAATAATAGTACCAATTTAAACGCAATAAAATACCAATTAAATATAATTATATGTTCTTTTTACAATTTATACTTTTATATTTATATATTTAAATAAAACTTCAAGATATTTAGCAATTAATATTTTTAAAATATATATATAAATTTAAAATTATATTTTATTAAATAATTAGAATCTATCAAATCTACTTACAAAAAGTTAATTTTTATGTATTTTTATGTGTAAATTTTTATTGAATTGTGCATATTAATAAAAAAAATTTAGCTTATACCTATTAACAAAAAATTTGTTTAAAATACAACAACAAAAATTTTAGGATATAATAGAATTCTTGAATAATAGAATATTATTTTGCAAATTTAGAAGCTCAAAAAAAGTGTCAATGAAATATACCAATACTTTTTATAATATTAAGAAATCTCAATACAAATAATTGAGCTCACTAAGAAAATCTATCTAATAATAGATAATAATATAAAGTTAACTATTTACAAAATTTTTAATTTTATCTTGAAATTTAGTTTCTTTAAATTCGCTGGAGTTTACAATATAAAAATTTCGAGAAGATAATATAATTTTTAAGATTAAATTATATTATTAGATGCTTATTATTAAAAATATGTTTATTGAAATTGTTTTACATGAGTTTTTATTATTTCATTTATTTACTTAATATTAATATTTTTCTACTCATATATTTAATGAATATTTTATTAATACATCAAACAAATCAAAATAATTTTGTGCATGAGAAAAATCATTAGAATAAATTTTAGTTAGTTGAAATGTACATATGCATTATGAACAAAAAATTTATATGCAAGATTCACTTTACTTTAAATATTTTATAATTTATTTTAAATATTTTTTAAGATATAAAAATTACTGTCAAAAAGTCAAAAGATAAAGGTGGATCCTTACAAAAGATAATAACTTTCTCCACGAGACTTGTTGACCTCGCTTATCGTTATTATATTCCAATATTAAAGTACAGATTGGCGTGTGTTGCACGAATTTCCTCGCGTTGATCTGATTGTCAAAAATAGGAAATGTCTAAAGCCTGGTCCATCATGTGACATGCGACTATGTAACTAAATATTGATTTTAAGCTTAGGGTCAAGGCTAGAGTTGAAATCAATTATATATAAATTGCCTTCCCGACATTTTTTATTAGTATACCAAGATAGATTTAAGCATTTTTCATACATTTTATAGTTTACATGTTTCTATGTACATATTTAAATAAAATTTCAAAATAATAAATAATTTTTATTTATAAAAAGTTAGTTCGTATTTATTTTATTATTGAATTATACACATTAATAAAAAATTAGCTTATATTTTGTATAACATTTCAGTCAACTCTCGTTATTTTTCTTCGATTTAATGGGAGTTAACTATGTATTTAATTAAATATATAATATAGAAAAAATATGTGACTGTTAGCCTATATTATATTTATTTATTTAAAGATACCTCTCGTTAATCAAAGAAAAATATGGTCGGTTTAACGAGAGTTGACCGTACTTATCATTTTGCAAATTCTAAATAAACATAAACATCGTTCTAATTTTAAACACAATTTTGAAGCTCAAAAAGGTTTCAATGAAAACATACCAATAATTTTTATAATATTTAAGCACAGTCAGCACGGATATAATGGCGGACGTGTTTTTTCTTATACCTTAATTAGGAAATTTTCAAAATTTGTGAAAATTTGTAGATAAATTCTTTAGGATATTGGAAACAAGATTTATTTATTAATATCATATAAAGCACATTAGCATAATAATATTTTGCGGAATTTTGTGTCAAATGTGACGAATTATAATTTTTAACAATTAAGATGGAATAAAAAATTATTTCAAAAGAATTTTAT